GTGAGCGAGTGGGCGAGTGGCCGAGTCTCCCGTGAGTGAGTCTCCTGTGAGTGAGCGAGTGAGTGGGTGAGTCTGCCGTGGGCGAGCGAGTGAGTGGGCGAGTGAGTCTCCCGTGAGTGAGTCTCCTGTGAGTGAGCGAGTGAGCGAGTGAGTGGGTGAGTCTCCCGTGGGCGAGCGAGTGAGTGAGCGAGTGGGCGAGTCTCCCGTGAGTGAGCGAGTGAGTGGGTGAGTCTGCCGTTGGCGAGCGAGTGAGTGGGCGAGTCTGACCATTTCGGGGGCCTCCGCTTTGTCGTTGCAGCGCCGCTGACCTCGAGATGACCTCTGCCACGGCCATGATGGCCGCCCTGGCACCAGCGGGCAACCTCACCCAATCCGACGGCAGCCACCCTGGGCCCTGACCCATGAATCGCTCTACCCATCTCCTGGGCCCTGGACCCTGAATCGCTCTACCCATTTCCTGGGCCCTGACCCATGAATCGCTCTACCCATCTCCTGGGCCCTGGACCCTGAATCACTCTACCCATCTCCTGGGCCCTGACCCATGAATCGCTCTACCCATCTCCTGGGCCCTGGACCCTGAATCACTCTACCCATCTCCTGGGCCCTGGACCCTGAATCACTCTACCCATCTCCTGGGCCCTGGACCCTGAATCGCTCTACCCATCTCCTGGGCCCTGGACCCTGAATCACTCTACCCATCTCCTGGGCCCTGGACTCTGAATCACTCTACCCATCTCCTGGGCCCTGACCCATGAATCGCTCTACCCATCTCCTGGGCCCTGGACCCTGAATCACTCTACCCATCTCCTGGGCCCTGGACCCTGAATCACTCTACCCATCTCCTGGGCCCTGACCCATGAATCGCTCGACCCATCTCCTGGGCCCTGACCCATGAATCGCTCTACCCATCTCCTGGCCCTGGACCCTGAATCGCTCTACCCATCTCCTGGGCCCTGGACCCTGAATCACTCTACCCATTTCCTGGGCCCTGGACCCTGAATCGCTCTACCCATCTCCTGGGCCCTGGACCCTGAATCACTCTACCCATCTCCTGGGCCCTGGACCCTGAATCACTCTACCCATCTCCTGGGCCCTGACCCATGAATCGCTCTACCCATCTCCTGGGCCCTGGACCCTGAATCACTCTACCCATCTCCTGGGCCCTGGACCCTGAATCGCTCTACCCATTTCCTGGGCCCTGGACCCTGAATCGCTCTACCCATCTCCTGGGCCCTGGACCCTGAATCACTCTACCCATCTCCTGGGCCCTGGACCCTGAATCACTCTACCCATCTCCTGGGCCCTGACCCATGAATCGCTCTACCCATCTCCAGGGCCCTGGACCTTGAATCACTCTACCCATCTCCTGGGCCCTGGACCCTGAATCACTCTACCCATCTCCTGGCTCTGGACCCTGAATCACTCTACCCATCTCCTGGGCCCTGACCCATGAATCACTCTACCCATCTCCTGGGCCCTGGACCCTGAATCACTCTACCCATCTCCTGGGCCCTGGACCCTGAATCACTCTAACCAGCTCCTGGGCCCTGGACCCTGAATCACACCTCTCTCATCTCCCCGTGCCCTGTTTTAAAATATTTCTATTTTACCAGGTAAGGCCCACTGGGCTTCACAGCGTCTTTTTTCAGAAGCGACCTGGTCACAAATTGAAGCTTAATGAAGCGGCTTATCGCGTGGAAAATTCATAGCAGCCAAACACTCTGAACGCACGTTTCTAAATGTGGAGGGAAAAACCGGAGGACCCGGAGAAAACGTGATCACGGGGAGCGAGAGAGAGAGAGACGCAAACTCCAGATATACAGCAGTAGGCGTCAGGGTCGGGATTTAACCCGTGACCTCCTGTAGACCAGGCGAGGTAGTTAACATCTCCTAGCCACCGTGATGATGATGAGCGAGAGACACGCAAACTCCAAATATACAGCAGCAGGCGTCAGGGTCGGGATCGAACCCACGACCTCCTGTAGACCAGGCGAGGTAGTTAACATCTCCTAGCCACCGTGATGATGATGAGAGAGAGACACGCAAACTCCAAATATACAGCAGCAGGCGTCAGGGTCGGGATTTAACCCACGACCTCCTGTAGACCAGGCGAGGTAGTCAACATCTCCTAGCCACCGTGATAATGAGAGACATGCAAACTCCAAATATACAGCAACAGGCGTCAGGGTTGGGATTTAACCCACGACCTCCTGTAGACCAGGCGAGGTAGTCAACATCTCCTAGCCACCGTGATGATGATGATGAGAGAGAGACACGCAAACTCCAAATATACAACAGCAGGCGTCATCAGGGTCAGGATTGAACCCACGACCTCCTGTAGACCAGGCGAGGTAGTTAACATCTCCTAGCCGCCGTGGGGCCCACATGGCTGGCAGTCACCATCGATTTGTGTGCCATCGTCGGACACGGCGAGGGTTGGGGTTGTCGTTCAGGGAGCAGATTTAGCGTCGAGTTGTTGGGTTAGATGCTCGGGTTAGGTTCAGGGTAGAGTTAGGATCAAAGTTTAGGGCTTAGGATTGTGAGGGTTAGGTTTGGGGGGGGGGGGTGAGCAGCTTTAGGATAGTGGCAGGACCCATAGGTTTTATGATTCTGTGCGTAGATTTTAATCTTTAGGGGGCGATCTGCCCACCGATGTAATCATCGCAATGATTCCAGCAACAGCTGTCGTTCCCTCGGTTTCTCTCGGATGGCGGGCAGACTCGGACTGATGGTCTGCCTGACTAGTGTGGTGATGTCTGGGATATGTGGGAGTCTGTTTAGCCGCGTGTGTGTGTGTGTCCAACTGTGAGTCCAAGCGTGGTGTAGTGGATCTGTCTTAACCAGCGGTCGGGAACCTATGGCTCGCGAGCCATATATGGCTCTTTCGGTGACGGCATATGGCTGCTCCTAGACAATTTTGAGTTGAAAAAAAATAAACCAAAAAATCAGTTTGGAACTGATTTTTAAATACTTGTGATATTGCTTAATAATATTGTGTCGTTTTAAAGTAAACAGAAATTAGTTTTGAAGATAAATTTCACGGGTCACGGGGCCTCAACGCCTGCACGAAGCTCAACCTCACCACGTACGAACCAGACTACAAGGCCATCAGCAAAACCACGCAGCACCAGAAGTCGCATTAAAAGACATTTAATTTATTATACGTTAAAATTACTATATGGCTCTCAATGCAATATATTTAGAAAAATTTGGCTTTTATGGCTCTCCCAGTCAAAAAGGTTCCCGACCCCTGGTCTTAACTGTGTGTCTGCGTAACTCTGCGAGTCTGAATAACTGTGTGAGTCTTATTCTAGGGCTTTTTCGGTAAAGTCACGTAGGTAAAAACATTAAAAAGTAAAATAAAAGAAAAATCACGACGTTTCGGAGGCAACACAAGCAGCTTCCGTCTTCAGGTGGTACCGTCACAGCCACGACAACTGTATCAAGTAAATGAGAGATTGCAGAAGCTACCACTCCGTTTATATAATGGTTGGAGAGGGTGGTGGGGCAAGGGCCGCATACTTTTTATTAATATGGTAAGGTGAGGCTTAAGACTAAGAATAGACTGCATAACAAAGGCTGAGCCTTTGTTATGGAGAGGTGCGGTTTGTGTGTATAAATATACAAACACAGACATATAATTTCAACCGTGATGACGGTTACAAACTGAGTAATCATTGGAAAGATGTGATTAACCATGCAAAAAAGATTTATCGACACTTATTTGCCAATCTTATTTGACAGACAACCATCACAGTTTTACCATGTCTAGTGGTGGTCTCCCTGTCACAGGTTGAGTCACAAACCGTGGCTCAGCCTTTGTTATGCAGTCTATTCTTAGTCTTAAGCCTCACCTTGCCATATTAATAAAAGTATGCGGCCCTTGCCCCACCACCCTCTCCAACCATTATATACACGGAGTGGTAGCTTCTGCAATCTCTCATTTGCTTGATACAGCTGTCGTCGCTGTGACGGTACCACCTCAAGACGGAAGCTGCTTGTGTTGCCTCCGAAACGTCGTGATTTTATTTTACTTTTTAATGTTTTTACCTACGTGACTTTACCGAAAGAGCCTTAGAATATGAATCGTTGCAGTCACGAAAGCTTCAAATCTAGAATGTACGAGTCTTAACTGCGCGGTGTCGGCAATCGGTGTGGCCTGTGTGGTTATTCGCCTCGTTCGATGCGTGCGGAGCGGCCGTGTCGCGCTATGAACCCGGCCACACGATTTCAAATCCCGCTCATTGGCGACGGTTATTTGATCTGGTCCTGCGCCTCCCCCCCCCTAGGTCGACTCGGCCTCAAATGAGTACCTGGTGCGGTGTGTAAGCATCACCACTGGGGAGACAAAGGCGGCCGGGCGTGGTGCTGGCCACCCACCCCCCTCGTGTGCCACCGTGCCTGGTCGTAGTGTGGGTCTGTGCGACCCAATTTGCATTCTGACATTTTCTGCTGAAATAAAGTTTACAGTCGCTTACCCGCCTCGCTGCACTGTGTCACCTCCTGCACAGTCACCACCTGCACAGTGTCACCACCTGCACAGTCACCTCCTGCACAGTCACCTCCTGCACTGTGTCACCACCTGCACTGTGTCACCACCTGCACTGTGTCACTACCTGCACTGTGTCACTACCTGCACTGTGTCACTACCTGCACTGTGTCACCACCTGCACTGTGTCACTACCTGCACTGTGTCACTACCTGCACTGTGTCACCACCTGCACTGTGTCACTACCTGCACTGTGTCACTACCTGCACTGTGTCACCACCTGCACAGTGTCACTACCTGCACTGTGTCACTACCTGCACTGTGTCACCACCTGCACTGTGTCACTACCTGCACTGTGTCACTACCTGCACTGTGTCACTACCTGCACTGTGTCACTACCTGCACTGTGTCACTACCTGCACAGTGTCACTACCTGCACTGTGTCACTACCTGCACTGTGTCACCACCTGCACAGTGTCACTACCTGCACTGTGTCACTACCTGCACTGTG